GTATGTATGTGTGTAGTGTATAGTATGTGTGTATGCATGCAATGGGGATAATGTGATCAGTGTGCTATTGATTTAATTGACTGGAAACATGTAACTTGTACAAAAAAACTCAATTTAGGTTGGAGGCTAGCAGCCTAGAGATTACTATACCCAGACAAAGAAAAAGGATGCATGAGGAGAGGCTATTTAAGTGGGTTAGGTCAATCAAGCCAGGAAGTTCTTTTTTTAACTTGCCATTTGTGAGTTCACATCTAATGGTCAAGAATGTCTTGTTACCTGGGAGCACATGAAGAAAATGCCCTCTATAAGAAAGAAGGGGAGTGTTGGGACATTGAAAGCCATAAATACAGGGTGAAAAATGCTGCACTCTGAATTATTTTTTTAAACAGGTGTGCAGTCAGCAGGGGGGCAACACCAGTTCTCAGCAGATGGAGAGGGCAGCATTAGGAATGCATCAGCAGGCAAAATATCTTTTCAAAGAGGCATATGGGCCACAAATTCCCTTTGTGAAAGAGAAAATCTCACCCTTTTACTCGATCAATTGGGGAAGGGTTTTTTTTTTTTTTAATTATTTTTGGCAGCATATGTCAATGCCTAGTGGCATATTTGACTGGTTAGTGTTTTATTCTATACCTGTGGGCTGTTTAGAATAATATTTTTTTTCTAAGTTGAAGAGAACTAATGGAAAAAAATGGGGAAAAGCATTGAATGCGACTTATCCTCACATTTAGATTTGTGTTCTTGCATTGCAGCAATCAGCAGACCCAGGAAATGTTCCAAATTTCAGAAAGGTCAGGCAGAAAGGCACAATTGTCAACAAGCATGAAAAGGAAATAATATTTAAAGAGTAGGATGGAAATTGCCTTGGACTCTGCCAAAATGTGTTTTTGCTCTGCTGTAGCTTGAAGCCATAAATCTTAATTAAGGGGGATTACAGGTCATATAGACATATCCAGGCTAGCTTTTGGGTCTTGCTAGCAATATAGCAGCCACAGCCCAGGGCTGGTGTGGATTCTCAAGTGGTCAGTCTATGCTAAGCTGTATGCTGCCCAGCTTCACTGCTACCAGTACCCTAATAGCTAGTTGAATACTAATTTAGATACAGCTATACAAAGTAGGCTCACCCTGAGAAGCAGCATCCTTTTGATTTTGGCTTCTTTTAAAATAGGGGTTAACTTGCCTTTATTCAGTCCTTTTATTCCTACATGGAAACTCTAATTTGTAGAGTTACCTAGTTTTTCCATCTTTGGGAGAGAGGGATTTGATCACATGCAGAAGGGATAGGGAACTTGACCTGTGTATCCTCCAAAATCTACCCAGAGGCCTTATACCTCCCACTACTCTGCAGTGCATGTTGGAACTGTGGGATCAGAATTAGGGTATGGTGACCTTGATGCAAATGCCTGTAAAATTTAAATTAAGTAAAAAACCTGTACTATTTAAGAAAGAATGGACTGAAATGAAATTTCCTATCCATTGCTATAGTTAGTTCAAAACCTCTCATGTCATTTTGTTGTATGTTGTATAGAACCAATTTTAATTACTGCACACAAATAAAATGAATAAGGGATGTTTTTACAAATGGTATGGTTGGAGAAGGAAAGTAATTGAGTTGCTAATACTAACCTTATGTTCATGCTTTGATTTTTTAAAAATTCATTTTTATCCATGAATTAGTTAATGCCTGTCAAGTGCTTTGAAGATAGAAAGTGTTATGACATACTAAAGTACTATTATTATTAGCATTATCCACTTGGTTTAATTAGTTCTCTTGTATTGTAATTGGATTATAGAGATGTAAACTTGGAGATGATGGTTTGGAGCCAAACTTTACCTACAGAGTCCCAGTGAAGTGAATAAGTACTATGTCCATGCACACTAAAAAACAAAAAAAAAAGATGACACCATTAGACATAATTTCTGAGTATTGTTTAGTTGAGTAGATTGATCAACTCTTAAATATAGACGACATGAACTGGTGTTACCTTGTGGCTTTTTTGTTTTAATTACTGTTGCCCAATTCCTAGCATAAGGAAGATTCAGCCTGGTTCAATGACACCAGATAAATATGACAGTGTTTATGTGAAGGATTTGAAATAGGATTGTATCTTGAGAGGCAGGAGATTCTCAGCTTCCTAGTGAGGCTAGTACTTGTTACTGACTGGGCATGTCTACATGTACATTAATGCACCTTTTCTAATGCGCATTAAACTTAGTTCCTCCAATTAATGCATATTCAGCTGTGTTAATGTGCAGTAGCTCATTTGCACACTTTTTTAGTGATGCTTAATGCCCAGTAGACTATTTTACTGCATATTAGTGTAATGTCATGGTTTTTACATGACACTTTAATGTACAGTAAAATAGTCTACTGTGCATTAAAGCTCATGTGTAGATGTGCCCACTCTGGGAGGAAATAAGCTATAGAGTCTTTGTCCATGCCATTTCTAGAGCTAGAGGTTTGGCACAGGTTATACCAGAAATCTGTGGGATGTTACAATGTCATAAAGTTAGGGTGGTTTTAGTCACAATCACAGATAAAAAGCTTCATGCTAACCTGGCTCCAAGGTCTCACTATAGTTAAGCCCAGCAACACCATGCTGAGCACAGTGCCACCAGGCCGGAAGACTCTGGAGCTGGGGAAAGCATGCTTCTTTGGAGAGAGAGTACGTTTCTTCCCTCAGCTCCAGGGTCTTGCTGTTGTTAAGCCAGTGGCTCCACATTGAGTGTGGAACTGCCAGGTGGCAAAACCTGAGAGCTCACAGCAGTTAAGCCAGGGAAGAACAGCTGCTTTAAGCATGAAGGGGACAGGGAAAACCAGTAGATGGTGGCAATGGCTAGAGTGACTGGGAGGTGTGCATTATGGGATTGTGGAGGGCTGCAAAAGGATTGTTCTATCTTCCATCAGCTGTCTAACTATACCCTAGAATGACCTGGGCAAAGCAGATCAATGATAAACCTCAGATGGAGTGGCATAACTCTAAAATGTTTCGAGGGTACTTATGACAGTTTAACACCCTTTAATTAATTACTGCTGTCATTGGGCATGTGTAGACAAAATGGGGGCCCTAAATTGAAGCGGTGGGTTTTAAAAAGCGCCGCTTCAATTTAGGACTGATTAAATCCCTGTGTCAGGCACACACCCCGCTGACTTACCTCCCTGCCTGGCGGGGAGGGGAGGGCAAGCTGCCGGTGGGAGGAGCGGTCCCTGGGCTGTGGGTAGGGTGGGCTGGTGCTTCCCTCTGTGGCACCTGTGGCCCCCCCCAGGTGGCACCAACCCATAGGCACCTGGCTCAGACATTCCCGGGGGGCACTGTAGCTGTGGAGGGAAGCACTGGGCCCCACACAGCTCAGGCAGGCAGGCTCCGTGGGGGTGGAGGGGAAGGGGGTGTTAAGGGTTGCCACTTTTCTTGGGCAGAGCCTGCTTTCTCAGGCTGCTGCCAGGCTGCCTGCAGGGCTTCCTGCAGAGCTATGGACCTGCACGGAGCCCAGTGCTTTGGTCCGTGGCTGTAGGGGCAGCAAACTAAAACTCCTCAAAATTTTAGAGGAGTCATTTAAGGTACATTACACCAAAGCTGTGCCCCAAGTTATTTAAGGTGCATTATGCCGCTGAATTTCATATAGTGGCTGCAACTGCAAACACCGACACCATTAAAGCGGTGCAACAGTATTTAGCCTGCTTTAAAGTGTTGTGCACACATGCCTCTCATTTCATCTACACATGGCCATTTTAAATGCCTTTATGCCAGTTTTAAGGTAACCTGTGACAAAGCCCTTGGGGAGGCTATTTTAAGTTGAGTTTGGAGGTGTTTTTATATTCTACTTGCCACAGTAAGGAAACCTGCCCAGCCAGCCTCTTCTTGACATGTGTCTTCTGCTTTAGCAGAAGCCTGTTTCTTAAACAAAAATACCTAAGGCTGAGTGAAGCCTTATTTTCTGATCTTCCCTGGAAGTTAATTTGCACATTTCACATTTTGGTACAAGAAATACATGAGGATAATAACGCATTCCAGGTTTGTGTAAATTTCTGTCTAATTTAGTTTTAGCAGTAATATTGTATGGAATAATATTAGGCAGCTGGCTTAACCTCCAGTTTGCTTTTGCCATCACATCCTCAAGTCTGAATTTTACAGCCTTTAAGTTTTGAAAAAGCACCATGATGGAGCATAGGGGTATAGGCCCTATTCTAAAAGACAATTATTAATAAGGTGAAAATAAGTTGGTGTCTTGCCGAACATATTGCAATAGATCACTTGAAAATTCTCAGTGGATCTTTTGCTTCATTTGGTTCTTTGTCGCTTCTTTTTCTCCATGACCTTGTTGAACTGTATAGCTCCCGAGTTAGTGATTAAATGAACTGTGTGTACTTTTAGAAATAAATGAAATTTACCAATAAAAGATTGAATTTGTCCCCAGTTAAGACCTTTGCATTTTTGTAATATAATTAGTTTTTGTTTACTTGTCTTCCTATCAAATAAAATGGTTCGCTAACAAGGGAGTTATACAGTGATTCAAGGTGACAAGATAAGCTAGGAAATTAGGTGATAGAATTTTTTTTAAACGCTTCTTTCTTTCAGCTGTTTCCACCCTCCTGTCAGTGTCATTTTCTCTGTGCAAGCAGCAGCCTGCTTCCCTATAAGTGTTCAGGAGCAAATGCAGTAGGCATCTAATTCACCAATACCTGATCCAATTCTCCTTCAAGCTAATGGAAAGGCTTCTGTTGACTACTGTGAGTTTTGGATCAAATCATAACCATCTATCTATGCAACCTCCATCAAATCTAGATATAAATACTTGATAAAATATAATTAAGATATCCCTTTGTGGGATAAATCTCACTTTGCTGGCAATACCTACAAATGGTTTAATAGATTATTATATGCAGCAGATGTTACTATTAAAGGTAAATGGGAAAAGGATTTACAGATATTGTTAACAGTTGAGAATTGGGAGGTTATGTGTAAATCACTTTGTAAAACATCTAATTCATTGCTTTTCAGATTTTTTTTCAGAACAAGATATTAAATAGGTTTTATTGGACCCCAGAGAGGTGGTTTTAAGCAGGGCTAGCCTTGGACGACTGTTGCTGGAGATGTGGAAACCAGGTTGGGTCTCTTACTCATATTTTATTCTTGTGTCCTAAAATTACTGGTTTCTAACCTAGTGTATGTATGGCACTTTCTAAGATACTTAAAATTTACCATGGTAGTATCGCCAGATTTATACATATTGGGGATTATAGATTCAATACCATTGTCTGTGCCAATGAAAAATGGCTAGTTATGATAGTTTTAGTGGCTAAATAGGTAATTTTAAGGAAATGGGAAACTCCCAGTGTATCTTCATTCTTGGAATGGTCAAAAGAACTTACGCATGTTGCATTAATGGTAAAGATTATATATGCAAATATACATAACTGGGCTCAATATGAAGAAATGCAGTGTAATTTGAATTTTGTGTGAAGTTTATAAATTGATTTATTTGTGGTATGGTATCCTTTGTGTGTGTGTATGTATGTATGTTTATGTGTGTGTGTGTGTGTGTGTGTGTGTGTGTGTGTATATTAGTTAGTTCTACCTAATGTTAAGTGCTCCTCGTCCCCTAGTCTCTACTAAATTTATAGTATGTATATTTAATGATCTATTTTGTAATATTTTGGTTTTGCTTTCTAATTATATTTTACTTATTAGCTGATATTTTATGTTTTTGTTGTTTTTATTTTATTGTTAAAATCTGAAAATAAACAAAAATTATAATAAAAAAAGGTATCCCTTTGCACTGATCTAGGTAGGACTGGCTTTATCTTCAATTCTAGGCTCTTATGTAATGATGTCATAGCTCTAAGTCTTGAAACTCTCCAGGATTAGCTCCAGCTTTGTCTAGTTTCAGATACTCAGGGGTTAAAATCTTGCATTTAAACCTTGGATTACAGATTGCTATATCAGCCCAGAAAATCAGGTTTCTGGATCAGATCTGCTTTTTGTTTCTCACTCTGCTGTAGTTGCAAGAATTACCTAAATGGCGGTCTTGCTTTGTATGCATTATTTATCTGCCACTACAAACATAGCATATATTGGTCCCCTGAAGAGCTTATTTTTCTTTGGCCTCAAATACTTTCTCGTCTGAAACAATTGTTTGTGCTGTAGCATTTCATTTTATCTTCAGCAATACTAGCCATAGGCCATTGCTGTAAGTCAGTTATGACAAAATGCTCAGCAAGTGGATTCTTTTTTTCTGTTCTGCATGTACACTAAAAGCTACATTTTATCTCATTCCTAATTGTTCAAAATATGCTTAAATTGGCAACATTTTACTGGCAGTTCTGAAGCAGTTATGTATTTTAGTTTGGTTAGATATTATTTCTTAGAATCCCTGTCCCATACAATCTTTTGCTTTTTAATACTTCCCCTTTTATAGTATCTTCATACATATACATGTAGGTGTTTAGTTCCAGGCTATAGGTAGGCACCTATGTCAGAAAGAGAGGGAGGATTTGAGAGACCTTTTTTCTTCAGTATTTCCTATGGGCTACTTGGGCACACCACCAGACAGCATGCTGCTTTTTGTGAATTCCATTCCTAGGCTTCCCTCACATGCATTGTGCAGAGAACTTAGAAGTCTGACTCATATTTGAAAATTCAACATCTGGAACTGGGTGCCCAAGTCACTTTGTAGATCTGGCCCTGTCATTGAACCTTTTTCCAAGATTCACTATGGAATAGACAGATGGATGCTACTGAGTGAGCATAGTGAGAGTATCTAGGCAGATAGATGGATAGAGGCATGGGATTCACAGCCATTCTCTTCTGGTTTCACTATGCCCAATGTTGAACATTTTTACAGTGTACTCCATTTTTTACAATAATCCATACCAACACACCTTCAAATGTCCAAGGCAATGTAGAGTGCCATTAGCAGTGTTATGGAATTGCACACGTTTTACTGGGTTCTGATTTCAAGCACCAGTACGCTTACATTTGTTTGCAACACAATGGTGCATGTACACAAGATGTTTACTGTGCAGTAGCCTAATAACACTGCACAGTAGTGTGCCTATCAAAAATTGTGCCAATATACTACTGAACAGTGTTATTAGTATTGTTATAAAAAACCCTCTTGCACCAGCAGTACTGTGCAGTAACTGTAGTACTGAGCATTTAGTTAGTACTTCATTAAGCAAGTACTGAACTAAATGCGCAGTACCTAAGATGCATTAATGAAAGTGTAGATGTGCCCAGTGAGCACTGCAACTGGAAACGTAACTAACCTATATTAAAAGACTACATTTTACTGGCAGCTGTAATATTTCTCTTCTCTGATCCCTGCCAACCCTGTATTTTGAACTCCTTAAGGCTATTGCTGTCATTTAAGACAGCAAGATATTCTTTCCTGAAGCATTTAACATCAGTAAATCTGCCCACTAATCCCCAGACTGAGCTTTATCTTCAGTGTAACCAACCATCTTGATTTTGAGGGCTTAGATGTTTCCCTTATTTTCTCTATTACAGCTCAGTGCCTGCTGTCCACCATAGCTCCTGTGGTTGCATTATTACCATCTGCACAGCTATTGTCTGGGGATTGTCTTATTATTTCCACCATCATGGCCTCTATAATCTTTTTAGATTACATTACTAGGTTTGTTGCTGTTGACATAATCTTCACTAATGTGCAGTTGGGAATCTTCTTTGTCTCTGTACTTCCATTTTGTTCTTTCTTCACTGCAATTTTTTAAACCCAAAGACACAAGCTATTTGGCTATTGGATATTTGCTGTTTTGCATCTGTTTTTTCCTTTGCTGGTTTAATTTGTAACCTCACAATGAAAAATGGCTGTACAAAAATCATTCTGTCTTACACAGCACCATCAGAATTGTTAGCTAAACTCCAACCAGTTGTATCTGTGCAAAATCAAGGATGACAAAGGATGGAATGCGTATTTATTAGTTGGTAACTTCGTTCCCCATTTTCCATTATATTAGAAAAATGTAGGACAACGTTATTCACAGAAAAATCTCTCTTTGTCTGACCTCATAGTTCTCATGCTCAGAAGAAGTTTACAAAACACCTTCAAAAGTCATGCCTGGGAACAAAAAGTCATTAGCCTGTTGGATGCTAGGGAGCAGAGACTTAACATAAGCAAAGACTTCACCCTCACTAGAGGGCTGCACTCTGTTTGGGAAGGACAGGGCTGGGAGAAAATGTGGTGGAATTACCTCCTATGTAAAAAATACATATGCTTGTTCTCTGGTTCAGGAGGTAGAAGGTAGCAGATCAGAATATATTTTGCTGAAGATAAAAGGTGGAAGACATGACATTGATATAAAGATGGGGAATTATTTTACACCACCCAGTCAGAAGGAAGAGGGTGACTCTTCAAGGTGACGAGGTGAAAAAATTATCCAAAAGTTAAGAGAGAGCACTGATGGGATACTTCAGTTTTCCAGACACCTGCTGGAAGAACAATACAGCCAAACATAAAATGTCGAGCAAGCTTCTAATTTGTGTGCAACTGTCTTAGAAAGTTGAGGATACAACTAGGGGATTAACTATCTTGGATCTTTTCCTGACCAATAGGGAATAACTGGTGGAGGACGTGAAGGTTATGGGAAACTTGGAAAGAAGTGATCATGATATGATAGAATTCATGATCGTGAGATGGGGAAAGCATGAGGTTTACAGATTTAAGATACTGGATTTAAAAAAGATGGATTTCAGCCAATTCAAGGAAACAGTAGGCATGATGCCATGGGAGAACAGCAGATTGAAGGATAAAGGAATTTAGGAGAGCTGGAAGCTTCTAAATGCCACAATATTGGAAGCCCAATAAGATGTTGTTTCAACTTGATGAAAGCACAGGAAGAATGGCAAGAGACCAATGTGGCTATGTAAGGAGCTTCTACAATGCTTCAAATGCAAAAGGAAAGCATACAGGTAGTGGACAAATGGGCAGGTCACCAAGGAAGTATACCAAGAAATAGCAAGAACTTCCAGGGACAAAATCAGGAAGGCAAAGGTAAAATATGATCTTTACCTGGTGAGGGAAGTTAAAGATAACAAGAAGAGATGCTTTATATATATTAGCCAGAAAAGAAAGACAAAGAAAGATGTGGGTCCTCTGTTAACTAGTCAGGGCAAACTCCTAACAGAAGATGCAAAGAAGGTGGAGCAAAGATATCCCTAAGTCAACAGCTACTTTGCCTCAATCTTCACAAAAAATTAGGCTGCTACCAGACAGCAATGAAGATTTATTTAGATAAGGAAGGGGACAAGCTGAGTGATGAGAGAACATAACACAAGAAACTGTCATAGAGCTTTGAATGGGTCTGAATTAATTCAAATCAGCAGGGCCTGATGAGCTATATCTCAGGGTCCTGAAGGAACGGGCAGAAGAGATCTTGGAGCCCTTGGCAATAACATTTATGAAGTTGTGGGAGAAAGGCAAGGTACCACAGAACAGAAAAAGGGCCAATATGGTTACCCTCTTTGGAAAAGGCAAAAAGGAGGACCTGGGGAATCATAGATCAGTTAGCCTTGCCTCGATACCTGGGAAGCTACTGGATAGGGTGACCGTATTATTTTTAAGGAAATCTGGGATGCTGCCCCCCCCTCCCCACACACACACCATGACACAGTGCCTCTCCACTGGCCAGCAGTGGGTGGGGACTGCCCATGGGGAAATAGGGTGAGTGAGGCCAGAAAATGGGTGGCTGGGGCTCGGCTGGGCAAGAGATCAGGAGGAGGGCTGAGCTAGAGGTTACTGCTGAGCAGGGATAAAGTTCACATATTCCTTAGGAAGTGTGAGTGCAGCTTGTGTGTGTGTGTGTGTGTGTGTGTGTGTGTATCTGTCTCTGTGTGTGTGAAGCTGCTCTGGATCAAAGATTCTGTATCGGCACATGCGTGCACAATGCAGCTGCTTGACCATCATGTCAGCGAGAGGCTGAACCTGGGCAGCCTCTTCTTGCCTTCATCAGACCCCTTCTATATGTACCCCACCATGCTGCCCATCAGCTTCCTTCCCCTTTGGCTCCCTCCCCCATGCCTCTCTTTATGCCCTCCACGCACTCCTGCTCCCTCTCCCCTCTTCTTCCTTCCTCACCACCCCTCTTTTCCCATCACTCCCATCTGTGCTTCCCTGCTCTCCAGACTTCCCTTCCTTGCTGTCTCTGTGACTCTACTCACTCCTCTCTCTCTCACCCCTCTTTCCCCCTCTCTAGCTTGTTCCCCCCTGCCACAATGCATTCATACACACTTGGTGATACCAGGGAGAGCACTGAGCTGAGCTCTGGATTCCAGCCCCTGGCAGCTGGGACTAGGTAGGACAGAGCCTAGTCCCAGAGCCTGGAGACTTTCCCCCAGCCCCCAAACATGGGTTCCCAGCAGACAGAAGTGGAGAGGGACCCCCATTCCCCTCAGGGCAGGGGGTTGAGCCCCCCCCCCCCCCGGGAAGCTCTGTTGTGGCAGCTACTCCCTCATCCTAACTCTACTGGGCTGCAAACAGGTGAACATACATG